ATCACTTTAAAAAGTAAATAACATGGTTTAAAAGATATACTCCAAAATATAATCAGCACAGTGCATTAATCACATATTTAATCCCATTCCGCACCTTCTAGCATTCTACATATAACTTCTACTGTAATTTATCATGTGTTCCAGAAATGTTGGATATCTCCATTACATAATGTATTAGCTGTACGTAACTGCTCTAGAAATGAGGGTTTTGTTAGAGAGCCAGAGCGGTTGAGGAACAGACTCATAGCTACTCATAGCTATTGTCATTATACTTACTGACAATAGTGACACGGGACAGTGAAGCTCCGTACACCCAATGAGAAAATCTGACAAATGATCGTCCGTTTTTTTTTGCATGCTAGTCTCATATCAAAAGTGAAGAGGTTAATAAAGTTAGGAAAATTCTTGTATGACAGAAAAAAATTCAGGAGTGATGTAATGTACTGTATTTGTATTATATACAGGAAAACTGTAATGATTAAACAAAAATTGTACGATCTAGTATCATACGAAAAAATGTGCGTGCTTGTTCCTTCGAATAATTTCAGACGAAAGCTGTGTACTTACGGTCAGATTATTGTACAATACCTTAGAAAGAGGTATTTTACATACGATTTTCTGATAGTGTGAACTAGGCTTAAATGCCAGTATTTTTGTATTATATCTTGTACAATAGTGATCGTATTTGGGAGCATATCTATTAAATCATGTTATTTTTTTTAAGTGATATTATTAAAATTGCTTGATCCTTTACCAATATTAGTTGCATTGTTTGGGTATCTCAACAGTTTTACACATAACAGTGATTAGTTACTTAACCCTCATGGCGGTATTCCTGAGTGTAGCTCGGGGTTACGTTTCAGAACCAGAAGCGGTAACCCCGAGCTACACTCGGAATAACCCTGCAGCGTTGCTCTGGGATCCCTGGATCACTTACCTTGTCCCGTGGTCCCACGCTGTCCTGCCGCTGCGTCCCCGGCCATTTCCTCCGGCCACTGCCGGCATCTGTCTTCCGTTCCCTGCGAGCGTCAGGACGTACGGAGGACGGAACTGGCGAGAGATTCAAAAATGTCAAAATGTTACATACACATAATACACTAAAATCTGATAGTATTACATTATTGTATCAAACCATTTCACATATATTTTATCCCTAGTGCTTTGTCCAGTACCCTGCCTGCACTTTTACCGTTCTTTCTGCCTGGAAACTGAGAAACATCCATGGCATCCAAAAAGCTTCCCTTTAGGTCAAAAGCGGTTTTAGACAAGCTAGAAAACAGCGATAGTAAATCAGAACCACTTGCAGAATTGAGTGATAATGATTCGTGGGGAAATTCATCATCAGACACTGAAAACGATTCTGCGACTGAGCTCAGTGATGTGCGAACTTGGCGCTCTATTTCAAATTTCAGTATTTTTGGTTTGATTACATTATTGAATAAAATGTATTATTATTATATTATTATTTTTTATGATTATTTATTATATTATAATTTATGATTTTGTGTTTAAATTTTTATCATACCCGGGATGAGACTCTTGTTCGGACAGATTTCAGTGAGTTATTCCTAAGAATTACAGGCCTACAATAAAAAAACAATATATTTCCATTGAAAACAATGTACTGCTTTGAGCACAGAAATACTGACATAATCATAGTGCTAGGGAGGTTAAAGCCGAAGTTTACTTTCTCACTCAACATTGACTATTTTGATTCTTTATTCTGCTAGCATTAGTAAACAGATAGGAAGGTATATTATATTTGTTTTAACCTATTTTTTAAATATCTTTAGTTATATCCTAGTTTTCATGCCTAGGCAAATTATGTCACACATCCCAGGAGTCTTCAGGAGGAGGGAGGAGGTTTTCTCAGCTAAGCACCCCCCCCCCCCCCCGTATGCCTGAACCATGGGCAGATTGATTCCATGAAGTAATCACTACATGAATTATCTGCCCTTACTCAAGATGGCCAGAAATGCTAGGGGGTGTTTTTCAATGTTATTTCAAAATAAAGCATGGAGACATGGATGGATGGGGGAGTTTGCTTTGAACATGAAAAAATTATTAAATAGCATTTTTGGTTTGTGATGCTCAGATGCAGTGTAGTTCTGCTTTAAATACTCATAATTGGGGTGTGAACCAGTAATTAAACCCTCTTTAGCAAACGTGTGGAGGTATAAAATATTTACATTCATTTGATTGTGATATTACTAAAGAAACATTTAATGGTTGTTAAAGTATACAAGTGGAGAGGACAAGGTGCTTGCACTGAACTGCATGTTGAATTCTGTAGGGGGAACCCTTCAGTAGTTTAAATTTAAACTCTATTCAGGACTGGGGGAAGGTCAGTTCAACCTTTGGTGACCGTTTACATCAGAAATGTGTAATAGAAAGAGTTGTACATCGACAAGGTATTACACAATTACTACCTTAAGTTTCAATAGCATCATAATTTGTTTTCCTGTCAGTCGATGGCATCGCATTGCTTTAAATGGTCATTGGTTAAAATTCTCCTAATGGAATTTGCTATTTTAAGATCTAATGATGAAGCTTATTTAGAAAGTTTTAAATCTGATATATCACTTAACTAGTACTAGCATTATTAAAATTTTTAGAAGCATGATTACTGGCTTGACATAAAAGTTATTCTTATAGGGAGCTTTTCACTACACACATGATTTCTTTATGCTGCCATATCCAGCCCTATATTTGAAACACTGATTAGAGCAGTGGTTCTCAACCTTCCTAATGCCGTGACCCTTTAATACAGTTCCTCATGTTGTGGTGACCCCCAACCATAAAATTATTTACCCAGTAATTATAATTCATGAATGTCGTTTTACCTCCAATACTGCTGCTTTCAACACAGTAGCTGCTTTTAACAGAGTAGCTGCTTTCAACACAGCAGCTGCTTTCTACACAGTAGCTGCTCTTTACACATCTGTCTCCTCCCCCTCCAGCAGGCGCCCCCAACGTGGAAATATGTGTTTTCTGATGGTCTTAGGGGACCCCTGTGAAAGGGTCGTTCGACCCCCAAAGGGGTCACGACCCACAGGTTGAGAACCACTGGATTAGAGTATAGTTAACCCATGTACAGGTTAAAGGGAAAATATAGTGCATTATTAGTAAATTATTCTTGCAGTGTTTACTGTAATTTTTGATGTGACTTTCACGTTTTACATGTTTGCCCTTTTACATTTTTAAAATTAAATATGGACAATTTCAAATGGGACATGAGAGGAAGACCTGTATTTTGCCCTTGGTAGCTGCTTAATAACTGTTGAGATTTGATATCAGTCACGCTAGGAGTATATTGGCGTACATTTATCAATTCTGTTGCACAGCAAAGCAATGCTAATCAGAAGTAGCAAGACAAATTGTGCAACAGATTTATTACAAGGTTACAGCTTAAGTCAGATTTCCTCCTTTGGCTATTCTGAAGTCGCACTATGAAACCTGACCCTTATCACTTTTTAATTATGCTTCTGTTTAGGGTGAAAATTTGTCCCATCATCAATTATAAATCTGTTGCAGTAATAAATCTGTGCACATCAGTCCCAGTTGGCTGCCCAGGTGTTCCAACATACACGTTGCAAATACACTGTAGATTTTTTTCGTAGTGAGAGGCAGACTGATTTGTGTCTGTGCTGCTAATTTGCTTGATAAATGCCCCTCATTGTCTATAATAGGTTGGCAAACCCATAGACTTGCATTGTGAGAGGAAGTAAAAGTGGTTCTAAATCCTTAGGGCTCATGTACACTGCAGCTGCTAAACTGACATTCAGGAGCTGTTGAGCAGTTTTTTCAGCAGCCCCTGAACTCTCCTTTATGTTTTCCTGTGTCCATGTACACATAGTCGTTTACAGTAGTTTACAGGCAGTTGGGTTTACAGGCATTTTCTTGAAAGCACAAAAATCACGTTCAGGAGTTTACTGGCATTTCAAATGCCAAATTCTTGTAAACGCGTGTAAATGCTTGTAAACACGTGTAAACTCGTGTATGCGCATTTGTGTTTAGATGCATTTTTTGGCTGGTCCATATCCAGGGCACGGTTCACTAAGCGGTATCTTACCGCATCCAAGTATGCGGAAGGATACCGCATAGCATTTTTTTAAAAAGGCTACTAAAATACTGCATGAGTTATTTTATCAAGTCATGCGGTATTTTAGTAGTGAAAAGCATGCATTAATGTTTCAGTTGTCAGCGGGGTTCCCACTGACAGCTGAATTTAAAAGAAAGAATTGCCGACAATCAAATGATAAAAAAAGGCGTGGGGTCCCCCCTCCCATCCATACAAAGCCCTTCGGGTCTGGTATGGATTTTGAGGGGAAACCCCACACCAAAATTTAAAAAACATTGGCGTTGGGGTCCACCCCAAAATTCATACCAGACCCTTATCCGAGCATGCAGCCCGGCAGGTCAGGAAAGGGGGGGGGGGGGCAGCGAGCGCCCCCCTTCTGAACCATAAAAAAACTTCTTAATGCAAACGTGCATAAATGCAGCTAAATGCGCATAAACGCGGTAGGTAAAGGCAGCTAAACCAACATTTTTAACCTACGTTTTCTAGCAGTCAGTTTCCAGCGGTCAGAAGAGTTTTTCAAATGCCCCGTGTACATGAGCCCTTAAAGTGTATTTTATGTTAATGCATGCTCTGCATTAACTACTTGCCGACCGCAGATAGCCGAATGACGGCTGCACTGCGGCCGGCCAGTTCTGGGTGGACGTCATATGACGTCCTCTCAGAACGCGCTCTCCTGCGCGCCCCCGGCGATCTCCGTGAACGCTGTGTCCTATGGACACAGCTGATCACGTGACGTGGTAAAAGGCCAATCACAGCGGCCTTTTACCACGTGATCAGCCGTGTCCAATGACACGCTGATCACAGGGAAATGCAATTGCCGGTTCTCGGCTGCACTTTCCTCGCGCTGTCAGATCGTGAGGAAAGTACTGCCGAGAACTGGCAGTTGTCAGAGCAGGGATCGCACCGATCATCAGGGCACTGATCATCAGTGCCCTGATGATCGGTGCCCAGCAGTGCCACCCACAAGTTCTGCCCACCTGTGCCCAGCAGTGCGCCCACCTGTGCCCAGCAGTGCGCCCACCTGTGCCACCCAGCAGTGTCACCACCTGTGCCCAGAAGTGCCACCTACCTGTGCCCAGTAGTGCCACCACCAGTGCCCACCCACCAGTGCCACCCACCAGTGCCCATCAGTGCAGCCCAGCAGTGCTGCCAGTCAGTGCCACCAGTCAGTGCCCAGCGGTTGTGCCAGTCAGTGCCCAGCAATGCCGCCAGTCAGTGCCCAGCAGTGATGCCAGTCAGTGCCCAGCAGTGATGCCAGTCAGTGCCACCTATCAGTGCTGTCTATCAGTACCCATTATCAGTGTCGCCTATCAGTACCACCAATCAGTGCCGCATATCAGTGCCGCCTATCCGTGGCACCTCATTAGTGCTGCCTATCAGTGCCGCCTATCTGTGCCACCTCATTAGTGCTGCCTATCAGTGCCGCCTATCAGTGCCGCCTATCAGTGCCCTTCAGTGCTGCCTATCAGTGCCCTTCAGTGCCGCCTATCAGTGCCGCCTATCAGTGCCCATCAGTGCCGCCTATCAGTGCCGCCTATCAGTGCCCATCAGTGCTGCCTCATCAACGCACATCAGTGAAGGAGAAAAATTACCTGTTTGAAAAATTTTATAATAGAAACAAAGAAACTTTTTTTTCAAATTTTTTTGTACTTTTTTTGTTTATGGCGCAAAAATTAAAGCGCCCAGCAGCGATTAAATACCACAAAAATAAAGCTCTATTTGTGAGAAAAAAATGGTAACAATTTCATATGAGTACAATCTTGCATGACCGCACAATTGTCAATCAAAGTGCGGCAGCGCTGAAAGCTGAAAATTGGCCTGGTAAAGAAGGGGGTATAAGTGCCCAGTAGGCAAGTGGTTAAAGTAAAAAAAACTTTATGTTTCCAGGATCTCCCCAGCCCCCACCTCTTTAGTCTTACCTGAGCCGATCTCGATCCAGTGCTCTGTGCAAGAGCAGCAGCTCTCTCGGCTCTTTCCCTCCTCACAGGGCAGATTAATGCTGTCAATCAATTCCAATGACAAATACGCATGAGTACCCCGTTAGCAAGCAACTTTCTAGGGGGGGGGTATGTATAACATGTTTGTTATTAAAAAAAATAAATAATAAAAAACTTAAATGCTTAGAATCACTTAAAGCACAATGATTGTGTAGTATTTTAAAGCGTATTTCCACTTTTGCAGCCAAATTGGGATATCTCCCACATTCTATTTATTACCTTTTCCTGTTAACATAGTAAAATTAAAAAAAAGGTTTGGGAGTTAATGTTTAACATAAATAACCCTGGCTGTACTGTGCTGGCAGATCTCACTATCAGTTGTAAACTTGAACACTGTCCTAACAAAGGGTTAAATATCTCAGGGTTTGAGTTCAGCATTGCATGTTAACACACTTTTAAAAGCTGTCCCCCACTTTGTTCTTTATCTTCACATTGCCATCTATTCTAATCAATAGAAATTGTCTATAGAGTTCTGTGTATAAATCAGCTCTAAAGAAACAACTAGAAATGTATTTAATATTTTAGGTATTTTAATATTATTTTAGGTACTATATGTTGTGTCAGTGGGAAAATATAACAAACATCTGGGAGTTTCTCAATTTTGACTGCAAAGGTGGAAATACATTTTAAAGCAGGAATCAGAGTTTGCATCAAATATGGCTTCTCCATATACATATTACAAGCTGTAGATGAAAACACGTTTTTTTTTTCTAAACATTTATAAATATTGATAAGTTTTTTTAATAGGGTAATCTTTTCATATGTAGAACTAAATTTACTTTCTCTGCAACTCCTGAGTGAAATTTACCCAAGAGTACTGCAAATAATCATTGTACATAGACATTTTCAAGCATGTTTGTGACCGCTCCAGGATTGTTCCTTTTCACCATAGATAATAATATATAGTAGCTGCCAATGTGTGCTCAGCCTTTGGAATACAGTTAGAGTGATTACAGGAGGAGAACAATGGTGTTTTCTGACAAGGCTGCTTTGAAAAGAAGCTGTGATTTGCCCATGTAGGTGTGCTTTTATGGGGGACCCACCAGCAACTCATATTCGCCTTCACTTTGTTTCCCTGACACACATTTCTACTATGGTGAGCAAAGAAAAGTAGTACTGGTGCCATGTGATCCTTTCTCCTTCATTTTATATTAGAGTGCTGGTGAGGTGATTGTTTACTTGGGCACTTAGAACTCACACATAGTGGTTGAAAGAAGTTCATCAGCCTTGTGTAAGTAAGTTGTGACTCAAAGCTTACACATGACTTCTTCTTTTCACTCCCAAGGATCAAATAGAGAAGAAAAGAAGATAGGTATGTGGATTTTGTGCAGTGACTGTTACAAGAAACCATTTTTTTTGCCTTGCAAAGGAAAAGAACAAGTTCATATATTAAGTAATATCTGGACCCAGATAATATAATTAAAATGTTCCCATGCCTCTCAGTTTGTTAATTTTCATATATAAGACAAATGACAAATAAAAGAGTATCAAACATTTTTTAGAAGCTATTACAGTTGTTTTGTGTTCTCTGTTGCAAGGTTAGCAACACTATGTTCATGAATAAAATTGAACAAAGAGAAAAGTTAAGCATAACATTGCAAAACCTTTTTTACATCTTACCAAGGTCACACATTGCAGGTTCTAATAAATCCAAAGAAGAGATTCTCCTCTGTAATGGAAATGCATCACAAAGCAAAACATCTGTTTGCTTAGGCTCTTGTAAATGCAACCATTCTGTTAGATGTGCTGTTGGGGAAATTTTCCCTTATTTCTTTCTCAGTGACATGAAATGAAGCAAGAAGAAATCATTACAGAATTAGATGAAATCCTGCCTAGTGTTAAAAAAGACTACTGAGATCCTGTTTGGATAAGTTTGTGACACTTTACTAGCAGATCCCATATATAACAACATTCTATATTAAAAAAGGGGGCATTGAAGAACATTGCTTTTACTTTAACAATAACAAAAATGCAGTGGTTAAAGATCTAATGATTATCTATTCTTGCCATACTAAAGTAATCAGAACAGTGATTAATGATGTGTTGAACTTGCACTTTGTATTATTACAGCACTTTCCATAACTATTCCCCTTAATATCCCCTTTGCTTATTTTTTAATTTTACAATCTAGAATTAGCGTATGTAAGGGCATTTATTTTTTCTTTGAATATATGAAAAGAGTGCATAATCTGTGCAGGTCTGCACAGAAACCAATCAGCTTCTATGTTTTATTGTCAAAACTTAACTGAGCAAACTGAAGTTAGAAGCTGACTGGCTACCATGCAGAGCTGCACCAGATTATTTTCACTCTCCAGTTGTAATATATCAACCCCAAAATGTGAAGGGAAATCTTCCTAGCAGGACAATGGCAGCAAAAAATAATGTGGTAGGGCTTTTAACTCTTTCCTACTCTATCTTAAACTACAATGTGTTTTGGTTTTACATACAATTTCAGACTCTGTCTTACTGATCCACCCAAAATAGGCAAGAATGTCTTGATTGATTGTTGATTGCATAAGTTATAACCTACCTTGCTGGGAAACCGCTAAAGCTCTAAAGAAACCCGGTGCCTCTGGAAGCCACAAAACTACTTCACGGTTTGTGCTTGTTTATACTTAAAGTGTCACATGACCGTAAAACAAAGTATTTCTGTTTTCAGAAGACACCTGAATTAGTCTTAAAACATAATGAAACAATATAATTTTTGAAGACCAAGGAGCTATCACAAAACTCCAAGTATAATTTCAGAAAAGTTCAAATCTGGGTTGGGTTTACGAAGAAAATGTCAAACATTTTAGCATAACTTCAACCCTAATAAGTACAGGGGGATACGTCTGTTCTACTTATAAATTGAGTAAAATAAGAAAACAATTAAGGTCAGACCCATCTGTTAGCCTAGTTATTACTGTAACTTTAAAAGAGTTTGTGCAGTTTAGGGCATATGTAATCGATAGAGAGGGACCTGATTCAGAGATGTGGACCTCTGACCCATTACCAAATGGGAACTAGCTAGCAACACATGCCATGGGTGGGCAAGTGAAGTCACTTGCTCCCCCCTAGTTAATGAGAGTATGAGAGGCATGGTAAAGTCCTTGCTGCAAATATTAGAATGCAAAAAGATTGTGAGCACATTCTAATGTAAAAGGATGCCATAAAATATATTGGTCAGGTTCCATGGAAAATACCTTGCCAGAATATGTTTTTACACATACAACATAAGGACAAACATAACCACAACTCCTTACAAAAATTCCCCTGAGCTTGCTCTGATGTTCCCAAGCATGACACTTTCCAATAAATTTGTATGCACACAAATCTTCCTTGTGACAGCTCCTTTAGGGTAGTAATGCACAGCTAATTGGTTTAGAATGTAACCCCACAAGGTTGGCTGGAAACATATGAGGCTGTGATTTTATAAGTGTTGGCCGAGTAGTTTCATGCTAATTTTTGGCCTATAGCTTAAAGTTGATAAAGGAAAGGGGAAACGCAAAACAGAAAGAAAAATTATAGTTCAATTACTGCAATGTTTATACCTAATATCTAACCCTTGATGGGGAGTGCGGGATATAAAAAACAAACACACATACTCACCTAGGTGGATGCAGCATCGGTCTTGTCTTTCCCACCTCAAAGACTGAGAACTGAGCAATCAAAAACCACTGATCGCTAAATTCTTGATCTTCAGTGAACAGAGAACCATAGACTGTTATTTACTGGCTCTCTTCTCTGCCCCTCCAGCGCTCACTGGATTGCTGGGCTGTGGAGGGGGCGGGAACTGCTGGCTCAGGCTCTCAGCGGCACGTTAAGCGGTTGAGTGAGCTGCAGGTCAGGTATCTGGGCGGGATCTCTCCAGTATCTGGACTGAGTGACGTCAACCGACAGTGAGCTTTAGCCCTCTGTGGCTGAATATGGGTCACAGGAGTGCAGAACAAAGTGCACTCCTGTGATCCCTAGAAGACATAGGGTCGAAGGAGCTTTGGCTCTACTTCTCCTTTAAGGATTAGTTAGATTATAAGATATCAGATATATGTTTTACCACCTTCTAAAACTCCATTCTGTGTATGCACTAGTTCATATTTATATATAATAAGGCTCTTAACAGTATTAAAATAGAGAAGATAGTAAGGTAAATGAAACTGTATCATGCTTGTGAGTCCTGCATCATAGCGGTTGATTTACTAAAGACAAAACGACTGTTCACTTTGCAGGGAATTTGCATTTTACAAGGACACCAGAGTTTACTGAATGAGGCAACGCTCTGCTTACTTCCATCATCCAATCATGTGCAAGACAAATTGCAGTTTTTTTATTTCCTTGCACATGATTGGGTATTCTCTTCATCACATTCACTAAGCTCTAGGGAAAATTCCCTTGCAAAGTGCAAAGTCAAATTTTCCTTGCACAGCT